CGTTCACAGAGACAAGGAGTGGAAGAGGATGTTATCATTCAAAACATGAATCTGAGCTTTCATTTTCAAAAATTAAAACACTAATTATTCTCTAAAACGAGAGTGTGAACAAGCTATTCATCACCACGATTTAACAATGCGCATTATATTCACTCTAATTTCTGATCATGAAAAGACTCTGAGGATCTGAATTTTTTCTCTTTTACCAACCTCCCCCCAAAAAGTAACAAAAATTTGATGCACATGGTCATTTATTCCATTTATGATTGAGATTTTAAAAAATCACTAGGGAGAAGGTGAAGGCCCCTAACACTGACCCTGAAATACCCTTGACATTTGGGGTGTGATTGCTGATTGGATGCTAATGGACCATGGGAAAGGAGAGAGGAAGTCCTTTAACCAGAAAAAAAGACTGTAAATGCATGAAAACAGACCCCTGGCAGAAGAAAAGGAGGGCGAAGGTACATACGGGTCACTACAGATGCAGACAGAAAACTGTGGAGTTTGTGTTTCTTGCCTATGAGTTTAATGACAAGGCTCCTTCCCTTCACATGCCACTGAAGCAGGAGCCAGCAGGCCATTCCCTGACTCTGCCACCCAGCCAGGCCTGGAGTCTGCCCGGAACAATCATAGAGATTCCCAGGCTTAAATTCCATCCAGAGACTAGTTATTTGATACAATTGCATGTGGTCTGAAAAGCAAACTCCCACCCAAACACGTTGTACTTGGGAAGACTGCAATCGTGATCACGTCTCCCAGAGCTCATGTCCACTCTGACCACAGCGTCCTTCTAAAGGCACGACTACCAGAGAAGTGTGTGTGATTCCACCATATAATTTCTGTCTGGGCAGTGAAATATCTCTGTTATTACATCATTCTCCTTAGCATAGTGATCCCTGAAAGGGTAAAGCCTACATAAAATCTCTTCTCAAAGCCAACTATTGAAACAATCTTCTTTTAATATTCTCTCCTATTTTTTCATTTTATACAGTTTTCACTCAGAGTGTCTCTAAAACAATGGATGGAGGTATAGATTATTATTTCTGCTTCCTGATCCAACCCAAAGTTCCTGGTCTCCCCTCGCGACAGCCCAGTGAAGGTGACAGGGGCAGCCCAGCCAAATCACGGTCTGAGAGATTGGCTCCCAGGGACAACCTTCGCTCCGCTCTGCCCTGACCCCCAGGCTGGACACAAAGAGACTGCCGGAAACTCCTGACAGCTGCCAAGCCGGTAGCCACAGTGTCCTGGAAAGGAATTCTAAGCCCACAACAGAGGGTTTCTCAATCTAGTTTTGTTTTTCTGTTTTTCTTTTTTTTAATGGGATTGGGGTTGGGGAAGGGTTGGCAACCAGCCAAATACGAGTGGCACAATGGTGAAATCATGCAAGTCCTGGTTCATGTTGTAGTGGGAACGAGGATGGGCTTTTGTGCTGACCAGAATGAACAGGCATGGCAGTCAAAAAGAAATCTTGTTTTATCTGTAATAATATATTCAAAAAAAAAAAAAAAGCATTTCCATGCGTTAGTTATGTAATTATAAGTTATCTTGGAAAATCAAAAGAAAATAGCCATTGCTGCTGCTTTGAGAGCCCTCGGGTTCTGGGAAGTTGTGTGGGACAGGGCAAGGTTCTAATGTCCTGATTCATTGTCTCAAAGCATGCCCATGCTAGCATGAGCTAGCATTCAACTGCCCACTAGGCAAAGCCCTGCTCTTCACTGCCCACTACTGGGGGCTGGGAAACTCTAAAGACTCCAGGGTGTTACAAACTAGAGTAGGTCTCTCGAGCCAGAGGGGATGGTAAGCAGCTTCTACATCCTGTCCCCATATCCCAGTGGCACCTCAGTCTGCCGGCCACCACCCCTTCTCTTCCTGTGTGTTCCCCTGGCTGGCTCAGATAAAAGCTTGTCTGTGCCTTGGCTCAGGTGGCCTTCCAGTGAGCTCACCCACAGGGGGTGAGCTCAAGAGTGTGCTCTTCCCGGCAACAGGAGAGCTGGGTTCTCACTGAATCCCAGACCCTCCCAGTCTCACTCCTGGGGCTGGCTCTCCTCTGTCCCTGACAGGTCTATCCAAGGACACAATGGCTTGGCTAGAAGGAAATTCAGGGTCTCCTGTGACTTCCACATATGATTCTGGCTCTCCTCTCTGCAGCAACACAGACCCAGCACCAAGGACTGTCCCCACATGACACAGCTCCCCTTCCAGGATAAAACTCACCTGCTCCATCCCCTCATTCTTCAGAAGCAAAGGCAAAGGCTTGAGTCACCGCACTGGCCCTGGAACTCTGAGCACCTGACTTCCAGAATAGCATATCCAGCCTAGACCAGGGGCTCCCAACTTCTCTGCACATTAAAATCACCTGGAACCTTTTTAAAAACTCCGAAGCTCAGGCCACATGTGGGTCCAGCAAAGTCGCACTCCTGGGTAGGCAGGCATCCAGGGTTCTCTTTAGTTCCCCAAACAATCCCAACATGCAGACAAGTTTGGAAGCTACTGTCCTCCTACCCCCAGCACCAACAGCCCCATAATGACCAGGCTCTACGCTAAGAGCTTTAAGTAACTCTTATCCATTCCCACCACAGTTATCCCTTCTGGATTTCTGACATTGCAAATATCAGTTGGAAGTTCTTCATGTATTGTGATAAGCTGCTACGTATTTATCAGCCATTGTACAGCTGTGTATGTGGTACGCTTGCTAAGGTTGACATACAAATGTGCAAACCCCAGTCCAAATTCTCCAAGTGCACTCTAACATCTTAATTGTGTTTATAAACAATAATGGTGACTATTAAAGCTAATTAAAAACTGGCTTGATGTTTTAATAAATAAAATTCGGGGATACAAATATATGTTAAACCCCCTTTTAAAAATCCAGCATGAGGCTCGGCGCCTATAGCTCAGCCGGCTAAGGCGCCAGCCACGTACACCTAAGGTGGCGGGTTCGAATCCCCAGCCCGGACCCGCCAAACA